GTGGGTGGGTGTGTGCGTGTGTCTGGGTGTATCTGCATTGGCGTGCGCCAGTTGAAGGTTAGCTCTTTGAATTTGACGGCCTGCATAGACATCATCTGTGCAGTGGACGTACCCTTTGGCGCCGCCCCGCGCATCGGGTGTATGGCCAGACCCCACTCGTCTGGCACGTACACCACCTTGCCATGCTGCTGGCATAGCAGCGCGAGGGCGGAAAAGTTCCCGACCTCGCGACGAAACGGTGCTCTGCCCTCGTTGTCGCAGAGGGGCCGCGGCCCGCCACAACTGGTTGCTGCATCGTGGAAGAATTGCAGCAGGTGGCTTTTCGCCGCACCGCCCAAGGAGACGACGCAGACTGCCTCCATAATGTCCACCTTGCGGTCGGCGTTGGCCTGCCTCTCCTCGCTGGTTTTCAGCTCGTCCATGCAGTCCTGGACCCACTGCGGCAGGTCCTGTAATGCGGGACCATCCATGGCCGCACGCGGCGCCTGTGCCGTGGGAAAGAGCTTGAAGCCAGCGGGGTGCCGGCCTCCTGCGAAGACAAAGTCCAGGAGAAGGGCGGCCAAGGGCGTGGACCCGTAGGACTTCGCAATCTGTGTGATCCGCGCGTTGGAGAGCACGTTCACGAAGGAAGCCCCATCGACCCCCAGATTCCAGACGCCAGCGCACTCCTCCTCTGTCAGATGCCTCTGCACTGCCGCGGGAAGAAATTGCAAATGAAAAACAGTATAAAGCCAAAAGTTATTGATAATCGCTGAGACCGCGGCCCTAAGTCATCAGAACCCGAGTTCCCCAAGACGGACCGCAAGACTCCGTCGCACGTCGAGGTAATGTCGGAGAAGCCCGCGCCGATCTTGAAGAGGCTGGCTCCATACAGCGCTGGTACGACGCTCGGAACCAAGCGCAGAAGGTCCTCTTCAGAAACGTCGAGGTGGACAATTTTCTCGACCAGAGGCACCAGGCATTCATGGACAATGGACCTGCAGCCACACATGTGCCCGCAAAGATTGCGATGTAACCTGTACACAAAAATGCATCCCGCCATGAGCCCAGCGCGCGTCACCCTCCACTCGTAGATCCTCGCGGATCTGCGTCGGTGGCAGGTCCTCGGCCTCTGCTGCCTGGAAGCGCCTGACCCGCTCACTGTCAGAGGGCGCACGCGAAAGCATTTCA